AACATTTTGTGTGTGTGTACACCCTAAAGAGTATGTGTGTGTGTGTGTGTGTGTGCGTGTGTATCTGGTAAAAATTTTCAAAAGTTGTCTCAATGCTAGAAATTTTTTTTCTACTAGGAAAAAAATAGATAAATGTATTTTCCTTTTTATTCTTTTTTTTTTTTTTTTGAGATGGAGTCTCTCTCTGTCCCCCTGGGTAGAAGGCCATGGTGTCATAGCTCACAGCAACCTCAAACTCTTAGACTGAAGTGATCCTCTTGCCTTAGTTCAAGGTGCCTGCTGAACAACATCTGGCTAGTTTTCCTATATTTTTTTTAGTGGAGACAGGGTTTTGTTCTTGTTCAGAGCTGGTCTCGAAATCCTGAGCTAAAGTAATCCACCTGCCTTGGCTTACAGAGTGCTGGGATTACAGGTGTGAGCCACTGTGCCTTGTCAATTATGTGGAATGCCAAGTTAGAGAAAGGAGCGTTTCATGAACTAATTAGGTACTGGGGTAACATTCCTGTGTTTGGTATGGCTGCTTAAGGACAACCCCCTTCCAAAGCTCTCAACTTGGTAGTAGCCACATTGTCCTTGAGGATGTGACCTCATGAGCCCCAAAGTCACTATTAGTAACAAAATGTAAATGTTTCTGCCAAGGTTCTGAATAGGAAAAGCACAGGGAGAATGTAGAAGGAAAAGCCTGGGACAGGGCATTGGTTGTCAGAGACTGAAACGTAACTTGGTCAAGAGCATCAGTAAAGTTCTCAGGAGAGGAAGAGAAGTCTAAAGCTCTAGCTACATCCTAAAATTAGAATGACCAGCCAGGATGTGTGGGCATGTGAGGGGGAATCTTCGAATTAAGTTGTAAAGCCAATTTTCTTCTTTGTGATGATGTCAAATAACAGTGAGTAGGCATTTTTATTTGAAGTAGGGTCATATAATATGGATATAGCTCGGACTTAAGATATATAATCTTAAATATGATAAGAAGGCTTCAATTATAGATAAGAACATTTAATTCACAAAACATAATACAGAGTACCTTTTATGAACATGTGCTAATTCTAGAACCTATTGTTCAATGATAGCCTACAGCTTCCCATTTTCTATATTAATTATCAAAGTGTTATTAAATAAGAAACAGACTCCCTCTCTGATCTCATTGGTAGAAAATCAGTTTAAATGATAATTTATGGATATTTTAGGTCTAAATGAAGGTATACAAGTGTTAGAGAAAAATGTGGAACTTCAGAGTTTAAAGGATGCATATTAAATTCTCTTACCTTTTTCCAAATGTGAATATGTTGTACATATAGATTAATATTTACACATGCAAACTTTGATGGCAACAAATAAAACACACATATGTGCTCTGCTCTACTTGGCTTCACTTCCTTTGTCTTCTGCTTTGGAAAAGAAGTGAACACGAGTTGTGTTCATCCCATTTTTATAGTTCAGTAACAATGTAATTGCCTTTATAAATGCTTTGCAATAGATAAGCATAAACATGTAAATGGCAATTTTGACTTTAACTTGGTATCTTTTGTTGGATTAAGACCCTAATGGAATGGTATCATAACATTTTTATATTGAGTGACAGTGACAGGAAAAAAATGTGCCTTGAAGAAAAAGGGCTTAAAATAAGAAACACATGTGATAACCTGGTCATGTAATCTTATTATTGGGGAAAACAATGAGAAAAATAAAAGAAGAAATATATTTTATTGCTCCAAATACCAATTTTTTCTTTTTTTTAAAACAAGAGCCCATATAAATGAACAACAAATCTCTGTATTTAACAATAGTGCAGTAGTACCAACTGTAAAATTACTCTGCTCTCTGGCTGTTCCTGGGTATTGTGTGTGTGTTGGTTTAATCTAATGTGTATTGTTGCATAGTGTCCCCAGGCACAGTCAAGTAAAAGCTAAGGCTGTACAGAGAAGCCTACATTTTAAATGGGCCTTGTCATTAATGCTTTATTAATTGCCCCAGGCTACACAAACCCAAAGCTGGGCAAGCTATAACAATATGACACATTAAGGTCAAATCCAATTCCTGCTGTGTTTTATGGAATGGGCCAAATATTGAGTTAACAGCAGGAAAGGCAATTTAAAGGCTTTTCTTTCCATCTCCTGATTATTCGATCTAAATTAGATAGGAATTTTTTTGAAATAATGAAAACACTTTCACTGAGTACTATAGAAGAATCCTGAATCATTTTCTGTGATGTTCAAAATTATTTCCTTTAAGGTTAGATGTACTGTATAATTTTAATATGATGGAGCAAAACTATAATATAAAGTGCCTTATCCACCTGCTTTAAAAAAATCAAAATTTCAACATATTTTGAAATCCAATTAATACCAACAAATAAAAATGCCTACCTTTACATCAGAGGTATCTCTCTGACTCGTTCTCCAAGACCTTGCAACTGACGAGAAGGTTCGATCGGGATGGTCAAATTTTCCATCATTTGCATTGAGGAAGAAGGTTGTGAAAGGTTCCTAAAGCAAAAAAGCCAGAATCAGGAATCTGAATGCTCTGAGCACAGCTGCTCTCATTCCTTCATAAACTATGACTCACACTGAAACCTTGAGGCGGAAGCAGTGCAGGGTCTTAGAGAGATGCCCACACCAAGGCACCAGGAGGAGTTGGCCTGGGCCTGACTGGGCTCTGCAGCACCTGCCTCTGTACAATCCTAGCAGGTCACTTTGCTTCTTGGGCTTATATCTTCTGGTCTATAAAATGAAGTTCCAGTGCTCTATGATTCCCTGACAAGTGACTTGGCACTGCCGTCAATTCATAACTCAGATTTTTTTTTTCTAATAATTAAGGCCATACATACAAACACGTTAGTAAGAAAAACCACTGTGACACCAATCACTGCAGTGTAGAGGCAGGTGGGGCATGTCCATCTCAGATTACGATGAAAGGCTACTAAAGTACTAGTACCACATTATGGTTTGATTGTCTTTTTAAAAATGCAAATCCCTGTTTAAAATCCTTCAGTAGCTTTTTGGGAGCTCTTAGGAGAAACTTGAACTACTTAATTTGTCTTGCAAGAGCCTGAATGATCTGGAACCTGCTCCTCTTGTTTCTCACAGTCTAAAATCTTGCCACAGTGCTTTCACCTCTGGTCCTTTGTGATCTTCCCTCTGCCTGGAACAAACTCACCCCTTCCCCTTACTATCCTTCCCTGTCTTAAGTTCTTTTTATCCTTTAAGACCCAGCCACCATGTCGTTTTCTCCTGTAAGGCTTCCCTCAAATAGCACTGAAGTTTGTATCGCACGTTTTGTAACTGTGAACCTGTCTGTATCCCCCCCATGAGTAGGTTCTGTATCTATCTTACGTTTCTATCTCCAACATTTAGAACAACTCCTAGCACACAGAACATGTTCAATAAATAATCTGTTGGATGAAGAAATAAAGTAAGTGCAACTGACTAGATAAACTCTAGTCCTCCCTGTATTCTGTGACTGTTACCTTAGGGTAACATAGTATCTGTTATCTAGGGCGTGTTCTCATAGAGGGAAACCCAGGAATAATATACAGGAAACCCAGGAATAACTGTATCACAATATACTAATAGGTAGCATAGTTAGTTTTAGTGCTTATATTAAATGTAGTTCTTATATTGGGAGTTTTCGTGTTGTTCTTATGTTTTTTGTAAAAACATAAAAAAAGCATTAAATTTGTTTCCAAGTTCAAAATGTTTAAGTAACATTTACTCTGACTGAGGATTTCGTATTTAACTGCAAATATAGCCGAGATAGATACTTACATCCTTCTCCAGGCTTTAATTCTTCTTTCTGAAGTGTGGGAAGAATGATATGTCATCCAAATCTATACCAGGTTTGAAAATGTCAAGAAATCTACATGCCACTTTCCTAAACACTTTAGTCTTCGTTCTTCAACAGGTAATCTCTGTTCTATTCATTTGTTCTCTTCTGCCACTAGCCTTAAGGGCTGGCTCTCGGGAACAGTGGCAAGTATTCCCCTTCCTCAGTGTCTTCCTAATACATGGTGTGGGCGCATGTCATCAATTTTATAAGTTTGTAAGGTGTTGCCAATATTTCTTGTTCAGTGTTAGATGAAGGAGTTAAGATCAAGAGTGACAGAACAGTATACAGGTAACAGGGGCATTACTGATTCACCTGAAACGCAATATGCATCCAGGAAGCCCATACTGCTGTTTAAGATTTTAAGTGATATGAGAGACAAATAGATGACACCAAAATAAAGTTAGGGAATGGTTGTATGACATGCTTTTTGCTAATTAATTTTCTTTATAGAATTTATTATTAAAACTAAGCGCTGGGCACCATTGCTCACATCTGGAATCCTAGCAGTTTGGGAGGTTGGGGTGGGAGGATTGCTGGAGTCCAGGAGTTGAAGACCAGTCTAGGCAACCACTCAGGCAACGCAGTGAGACCCTGTCTCTACAAAAACTACAAAAATTGCCAGGTGTGGTGGCACATGCCTTTAGTCCCAGCTCCTCAGAAGCCTGGGCCACTGAGCCAGGAAGTCTGGATAACAAAGTGAGACGCTTGTCTCAAAAACAAAACAAAACAAAAAAAGGTAGTATATCTGATCACTTAATCAATTAAAATGGAGATGGGGATATAAAAATTCTGGAAGTAGTAATGGTAAATTAAATGAAATATGACAGATCTAAGTTTGAGTCTTGGTGGAACTATTTACTTATCTTGGACAAGTTACTTAACCTTAAGTGACTGTCAAGTAATGGTGTCTCTTCCTTCATCTATGTAATTGGGAAAGATAAGACCTTGGGGGTAATTATGGCAATTACGGACGATTAAATAAAACAACACAGAGAAAGCTGTACCTTACCTGACACAGAGTTATGAAAACGTCTACCAGCCGTATGTCTCGCACCACGTGGTCACTGCTGGACCCCATCAGGCTGACAAGACTCTGAGCTCCTTAGGGCTTATTAACCTCAGTCTCCCCAGCACTGAGTGCAGCACTAGGCTTGCAGTTAGTGTTTAATCAATGGTAGTTTAATATGCCTGAACATACAAGGTACTGTTGGGAGAAGCGGCTATGAGTGGGTAAGACTAAGAGGGAGTTTAAATTTTCACTTTTTTTTTTTTTTTTTGAGACAGAGTCTTACTCAATTGCCCTGGCATCAGCCTACCTCACAGCAACCTCAAACTCTTGGGTACAAGTGATCTCCCTCACCTCAGCCTCTGGAGTGGCTGGCACTAAAGGCACCTGCCATAATGCCTGGTTAATTTTTCTGTTTTTTTTTTTTTTTTTTTTTTTGTAGAGACAGGGTCTCAGGGTCTCAGCCTTGTTCAGGCTGCTCGTGAATTTCTGAGTTCAAGCGATCCTCCCACCTTAGCCTCCCAGAGTGCTGGGATTACAGTGTGAACCACTGCATGTGGCCTTCACTTTGTTACTATTAGAAGTTTGACTGAAAAGTTCTATCTTCAGAACCCACTTCTTCATTATTCTAGGATATTGATTTAAGGTATTTTGTTTTCTACGTAGGTAGCAGGCAGAGATTAATTTAGAGGGATCAGACTTGTCTGTAGGTTTTTTAACCTATTAAACAGATGTGAGTGAAGACCCATTTATACATGCAAAGCCTTACTTCTTATACCAGCCACTGAAAGCTCATTTCTACCTCAACCTAAATTACATAAAATCCTTTCTAGTTTTGAACCCTTCATGTGCCAAGAATAGCACTGATGGGCACAGTGGAAACAAATCCTAAATTAAAGGATGATGTTTATTTCTGATAACAAAGTTATAAATGAATCTGGTGGTACTCTGAAGCAGAGAATATTGAAGAATTCCACATTTTACTGTTTTAAGCAGCTTTTTTTTTTTTTTAACTTTTTATTGTTAGGGATTCAATAAGGGTACAAGACACCAGGTTACACTGATTGCATTTGTTAGGTAAAGTCCCTCTTATAATTGTGTCTTGTCCCCAAAAGGTTGTTTTAAGTAGCTTTTAAAAAATCTCATTAACAACTGTTTTAGGGTCACATACTACATTACTGACATAAATTCTCATTATTCCTGAAGGCCTCCAGCTGCTACAGTGGTAGGGTACTAATAGAAATTGATAACCTATTTGTTTATAAGTAAGCATTGATCTTTTAAGCTCTGATTACCATGGAGATTACTTTTTTCCATGTGTCTCCCTATTACCTTTGAGGTGACGGTAAGAGGCCTTTTGTTTTATTTGACTCATGTCTGACTAACATAGAAGATCGGTGCTCTATTAACCGTAAGTAACTTTTACATTTATTTGCCTAACACCTGTCAATTGAACCATTTTCTATATGTATATCAATATATTAGTTATTTTACAATTATGCTAAAAAAGCTTTCAGCTTGGGAAATAAGATGTACAGATAAATAATATCTTAAATAGCAATTTCAGAAATTACAATACTAGCACTCATCGGGCCATAAACATTTCTGGTTAGATCCTGCAGTGATAATGGCCTGTGGCAGACACTGCCAGCCTTTCCTGCCTTGCAGTGATTACAGATCAATTAATTGTATCATGAACAATCCAATGCTATTTCCCACTCCTTCCTCCCTTTGCCCAATTCCTTTATTTTTCTGTCTTAATATAATTTTTGCTTCATCATCTCTTAAAACTCTTAATCCTTTTTTTCTTGTATGATTCTTTTATTTCCTTCTCTTCTTTCCATTTAAAAGCCCCAAATGAAACCCATCCAGGAGTAACAGGTAGTACCTTGACTGTAACAATAGCAAGGAAAAGTGCATTTGAAATTGTAGGCAGCATAGTAAGACCAAAGGGAAGGGAAATAACAATTACTGAGACCGTTTCCATGCCAGGTGCTATCTTATCTTGGCTAGCTCCATCCTCACTACCATTCTTCAGAGCAGGTATAATTATTGCCCTTTTATATTTGAGAAAATATGAGATTATAGCCTAAGAAATGGAGGAATCATTATGTCCAGTGGCTTTTGTCTAACTCCAAAAGTTTATTTTCTCCCATTCCTTTCAAAGGAACCCAAAAGTATTATCTAGATTAGAATTTTTTTTTTTTTTAAGACAGTCTCATTTAGTTGCCCTAGGGTTGAGTGCCCTGGCGTCATAGCTTATACCAACCTCAAACTCTTGGGCTCAAGAGATCCTCTTGCCTCCTGAGTAGCTGGGACTATAGGCACCTACTATAACACCTGCACAGTTCTTTCTAGTTTTACTAGAGACAAGGTCCTGCTCTTGCTTAGGCTGTTCTCAAAATCCTGAGCTCAGGTAATTCACCTGTCTCTGCCTCCCAGATTTCTGGGATTACAGGAGTGAGCCATAGCAACCAGTTTAGATTAGAATCTTGGTTAAGTTTTCCTCATCTTCTTCTACATATACATGCACTGTTCTTAAGCATATTACTACTCAAGATAACCCTGACATCAATATTTTATTCAGTAGCACTATCTTTTGGTTTTAATCATAATACTTGCAAAAGTGATTCTATTACTTTAACTTTACTATAA